TATTGGTAAACAGGAGAGGTCAAGGTATATGCACAAACATGAAACTTCCAGGAATTTAAGATCATCTGGGGAGGCCCTGCTCTCGATCCCATCTGCATCACAGACTGCTTGGTGGGGACGAGGGGCAGGGCCTTCTCAGTGGTGGCCCCTCGGCTGTGGAACTAAATCGGCCTCCTCCCTCCTGACCTTTAGGCAAAGAGTAAAAACCTGGCTCTTCGAGCAAGCTTTTGGAACCTCATTGTAACCAGATATTTTACTTAGGCGATCCCTCGTAGTCCAAGGATGATGGTCCTTCAAGGTCAGTGTTCTGTCGGTGGGTTTGTAGGTGACTGTGAAGCTCAATTCTTGATCTGCATCTTCTCCCGCAGTGAGGGCACTGGTTTCCAGGTGGAAGGCGGTCCCGGTCGGGATTGGCTTGACGCACCTTCTTCTTGGCACATTTCTCTCTTTTGCCCTCCATTCGTGCCCCTTCAAACTCCACAGCACTGCTGGTCACAGCTGACCTCCAGCTGGAGCACTCAAGGGCCAGAGCTTCCCAGTTCTCAGTGTCTATGCCAGAGTTTTTAAGGTTGGCTTTGAGCCCATCTTTAAATCTCTTTTCCTGCCCACCAACTTTCTTTTTTCTGTTCTTGACTTCAGAGTAGAGCAACTGATTTGGGAGACGGTGGTCGGGCGTCCGGACAACATGGCCGGTCCAGCAGAGTTGATGGTGGAGGACCATTGCTTCAATGCTGGTGGTCTTTGCTTCTTCAAGCACGCTGACATTTGTCCGCTTGTCTTCCCAAGAGATTTGCAGGATTTTTCGGAGACAACACTGATGGAATTGTTCTAGGAGTTGCATGTGACGTCTGTAGACAGTCCATTTCTCACAGGCGTATAGCAGGGTTGGGAGGACAATAGCTTTATAAACAAGCACCTTGGTATCCCTACGGATGTCCCGGTCCTCAAACACTTTCTGCTTCATTTGGAAAAATGCTGAGCTCAGGTGGTGTTGAATTTCAGTGTCAATGTTGACTTTTGTGGAGAGGTGGCTGCCAAGGTAGCGAAAATGGTCAACGTTTTCTAATGTTACACGATTAAGCTGTATTTCTGGCATTGGAGAGGGGTTGGCTGGTGACTGCTGGAAGAGCACTTTGGTTTTCTTGATGTTCAATGACAGGCCGAGCTTCTTGAATGCTTCTGCGAAGGTCTTTAGAGTGGCTTGTAGGTCTTCTTCTGAATGTGCACAGATGATGCTGTCATCAGCATATTGGAGTTCTATAACAGATGTTGTTGTAACCTTGGTTTTGGCTTTCAGTCTGCCATCTGTCCGGATTTCCACTCCGGTGTGAGTGTCACACAGTACTCACATCTTTACAGCTGAAAAACAGGTGTCAAAAGTTTCCCTTCTGTTTCATTGCCCAAATGTCAGCAGTCTCATGTATCCTATGGAGTTTGATGCAGAACAATAAGATCCCATGGAAAGAAGTGGTTTTAACTACGACCACTGTCTCTTCTATTCTATGGGCTTTGATGCAGGACCAGAGGATCCCGTGAAAAGCCATGGCTTTAACCTGATGTCAGTCTCCTTTAATGTAAGGGGTTTTAGGCAGGGCAAGGGATCTCTTGGTTTCCAGGTATTGTTGTTTCTCCTAATTAAAAACCAAAAAACAATACTGACCTTGTGATGAATGTGGTCACAGTTGTATAAAATCCACACTATTTGTTTTGGATTATATGGCAGTGTGGACTCAGATAATCCAGTTCAAAGCAGATAATGTGGATTATCTGCCTCGATATTCTGGATGATATGACTATATATATATCCCACGAAACAGTGAGTCAGTGGTAGGTGAACCGCAAAATAGTGAGGGAACACTGTAACTGTTTTTGCAGAACGTGCCTAAATTGTCTTAATAAATCACTATTCCATCTGGTACTTCAGAGAGAGAGAGAGAGAGAGAGAGAGAGAGCGATCTGGGGAGCTTTAGGAGACTGATAGAGCCACAAATGTAGGCCACTGAGCCACTTGTGCCCTGCAGGTCGAACTATTCTTGCTCTTGCTCTATAAACATTACCAGCACTAAGAGGAAATGTAACATAATTGTAAAATTAATTACAGGTTACACAATGGTATTGCAAAATAGAATAGCTACCAGAACTATTACTATAGGTCAACTTTGTCTCTCCTCCACTTTTTTAAAATTTTGGAGTGTGCCTATTATTTACTTACTTACTTACTCAAGAGAATTGCAATGTTCTGAGTAAGCCTGCTTATTGGTCAGTCCTATTCATTTCATCTATTCTATAGGTGTCTAGTGTCTAGTGAAAGTAATAGTATGCCATCTAGTGTTCAGTTTTGTTTCCCAGCTAGAGTAATTCTGGCCCTTCTATACTGCCATATAATCCAGATTATAAAAGCAGATATTCCACAATCTTTGAACTGGATTAAATGAGTCTACACTGCCATATAAACCAGTTCAAAGCTGATAATCTGGATGTAATAATAATAATAATAATAATAATAATAATAATAATAATAATAATTTTATTTCTTACCTGCCTCTCCTCATGGCTTCAGATGGGTTACAGAATAATTAAAACACACAAACATTGCAAAAGCATTACAAATACACATATTATATGGCAGTGTAGAAGGGGACTTCCTCTCCCTGATTTGCCCCAGTCTAAAATAATAGATTGATTTATTTTTCTCCCAGCAGAATATCCAACAGTTCTAACAGCTGTTAAACCAAATGCTATATATCTTAGCATTGCGATTTCACCTTATTTTGTGAGGGATGTAGAGGTTTCTTGGATGAATTCAAAGGGTTCTAGGAGAAGTAATTAAAGGATTTTGATCATCCTGACTCCTACAGTGATAACCAAGCAAACACTTAAACCCAACCTTTGCTTTCTTAAGAGCTGGTCAGAAGTTTTGCAGGAAACAACCTCTTCCAGGTATACTTTCAGCCAAGCATGATGGTCCTTCTTCCCTTCTTTTCCACATCCTTAAAATTGCAACCAGACGTTTCTTTGCCACTGCTACAATTGTTTTGTGGAATTAAAGTGAGCATTTAAGTTATGCAGTAGTGGTACTGTGTTACTGAAATGGCTGGGAGAAGGTTTGAGGAAAAGAGACAAAGAGAGATCCTGAGATCAGAAAAGCACGGCTTTATTCTCGGTTGGTGCCAACCGGATATGGATCCTCCTGGTAAGCCAGGAAAATAGGGTACAGAACAAAGGAAAGGCTTGGTTTATATACCCTTTAAAATAATATGCATACATCATACAGGCATCTTAATGTGCGTCACAAAATTCTACTTTTACATTGACTTCAATGGCATATTTCAATCTCAACACCAGTCAATCTTCAATTTGAGCATCCTTATCTGAGGAGGTGCTATTAATGACGACCATCGCCAGAATGTCTACTAGACCCAATAGCAAGAGTTTCCATCCATTTTGAGATAACTTCTTCCTGAAGCCTCTTGATGGCCAGCTAATTAATTTTATGATAAGGTGCCTGGTACCAAAATGGAACCTCTTGAAATATGTCAGGCGTTTAATTTTTGCAGCTTTTAAGAAGCCAAGTGAAGTGAAGGTCATGCATACATTTCTCTTTGTGATTTCATATATTTTCTTACTCCTATTTCTAATATGGTTACATCAAATATATTTTCTAATATGTGTATTATGTATTTTCATTATGCCTTCATCATTACCAACAATAATATTGTGTTATTATGATTTGTATTTTGTTGCAAAGTTTAGCGAAGACTTTCGTTTCTAGGCTCCTTACACACAGTTGAATAAAATCCCATATTTTCTGCTTTGAACTGGAATATATGGCACTGTGGACTCAGATAAACCAGTTCAAAGCAGATATTGTGGCATTTTCTGCCTTTATATTCTGGGTTATATGGCTGTGTGGAAAGGCCCCTAATTGAAAAATTTGGGCAGTTACTCACTTGAAGTGATGAAGGCTTGATGAAAATACATAATACACATATTGGAAAATATATATTTGATGTAACCATATTAGAAATAGGAGTTAGAAAATATATAAGAGACATGTATGTATGCATGGCCATTTCACTTGACTTCTTAAAAGCTGCAAAATTAGAAACGCCAGCATCTAGGAAAGGAATGTCTTGAGGCTGGCATTTCAAGAGGCTGATAAGGTGCGGTACCAGGCACCTTATCGTAGGCTTGACTAATGAAGTGTCCATTAAGAGGCTTCAGGATGGATGGAGACACTCGCTATCAGGTCCGGTAGACATTCTGGCGCTGGTGTTCATTAATAGCCACTCTTTAGATAGAACACTAATGAAGATTGACAAGGTGTTGAGTTTGAAAATATGCTATTGAAGTCAATGTAAAAGTAGAATTTTGTGACACACATTGTGATGCATGCATAATTATTTCAAAAGGTATATAAACCAAGCCTTTCCTTTGTTCTGTACCCTTCTTTCCTGGCTTACCAGGAGGGTCCATATCTGGTTGGTGCCAACTGAGAATAAAGGCCGTGCTTTTCAAGTCTCAGGATCTCTCTTTTGTCTCTTTTCCTCAAACCTTCTCCCTGCCATTTCAGAAGCTGTCAGTCATTGGGTCCACTTCTGTAGTCTTAGGTCCCTTCTACACTGCCATATAATCACAATTATCCAAGCAAATAATCCAAATTATCTCTTTTGGATTATATGTCTACACTGCCATGTAATCCAGTTCAAAGCAGATAATCTGGATTTTATATGCCAGTGTGGAAGGGGCCTTAGATAATGGCAGAATAAGATAAAAGATGGAAGAGTCTTCAGAAGGAAAGTTGGAAAACAGACTGTTCCAGGGCGAAGAAAGGAATTAGGATCCGGTGAATGAAAAGACTAATAAGAAAGGGAATGGACAGAAAATATAAATTAAAAGAGCCAGAATTAGGAAAGATGCTAAAGTTTGCATAACAACTTGAAATAGTTTGGATTGCCTGATTATGACATTTCTCTTCTCCCCTTTGATCCGAATGGCAGATGGCAAAGCAATATGGAAACGTTTACATGATATGGGTCGGGAATTATCCTGCCGTGGTGCTGTCCGGATACGAAGCAGTGAAAGAAGGGATGATTGACCATTTAGAAGACTTTGCTGAGCGCCCAGTATCACCCTTTCTTCAAAGTGTAGTTAAAAAAAGAGGTATGTTGTGTGGATTAAGGAGTTTTAGTGGGTTTGAATAAAATCATTGAGGGGCTTCAAGAAAAGAAGATATAGTGGGGCTTCTCACATGTTCCAGTTATTTGGAGCCTTCTCCATGATATAGGGTGGTTATATATGTTTCTCACCTCTAGCCACAGCCAACGATTTCTGTTTCATTTCATTATATCTTGTTTTGAAGGTATATACATAATATATTGTCATCTTTTTTATCTGTTGCATTTAAAAGTCATAATGTATATTGATTTCTTAGCTTGTGACCTTTGAAAAACAATATTAGTGATATTGAACAATGCTTTCCCATTGATTCTTGCTGATCCCAGGGATTGTATTTTCAAATGGTCACACTTGGAAGCAACAGAGACGGTTTGGAGTAGTTACGATGCGGAAGCTGGGACTGGGGAAGAAAGGCATGGAGCAGCAAGTTGAAGATGAAGCTCACCGACTTATAGAGTGTTTTGCAAAGACAAAAGGTTTGTACTACTAGCAGATGATGCTATAAGGCAGTGGTTCTCAAGCTATGGGTCTCCAAGTGTTTTGGCCTACAACTCCCAGAAATCCCAGCCAGTTTACCAGCTGTTAGGATTTCTGGGAGTTGAAGGCCAAAACATCTGGGGACTCACAGGTTGAGAACCACTGCTATAAGGTATCTCAGTTAGAAGAACTATTTTTGTGTCCTATTTTCTTTCTTATTCATTGAATGCCTAAATTAATCCTCTTCTGTGTTTCTCATACAG